TGCGCCCTGAGAGGTGACCGGGGTCCAGCGGGCAGAGAAGCAGAGGTGCTGGGAGCGCAGGCACAGAGCCACAGACCATGCTGAAGCCACCTGCTAGCTGTGTGACCTTAAGCGCTACTCCAGGTCCCGGTGCCTCAGTGCCCGATGAGGGGCTGTGACATGTACCAGAGGGTCCAAGGAGGAAGCCAGACAGGGCAGGGTGGGCCCAGAGCAGGCGGGCCAGGGAGGGGTCTATGCGGTGGGCCTGCCCCATGGTGTTCCCAGCTCATGGACTGTGTGGGGGCAGAGGAGGCAAAGGGGGTGGCACTGAGTGTCCCGAGGGCGGGGCAGATGCCAGAAGGAAGCAGATTTCAGACACAACCAGCAGAAAGGCGTCCCTTACGGGCTGAATCGCGTTCTGCAAAAATAGGTCGGAGTCCTAACCCCCAGGACCTGTGAACGGGACCTTATTTGGAAGCAGGATGACTAACTTTACGTGAAATCATGAGGGTGGACTTAGTGTGTGAAGGAAGGAACCCTGCCTGAGACACGCTCATGGGGGGGTGCACAGGAAGAGGAGGCAGAGATGGGGTGAGGGGTCTGCAGGCTGGAGAGCGCCACAGGTCGCCAGCAAGCTGCACGGACAGAAAACAAGAGGACACGGGGAGAGAGGGCCACCCCCACGCCAAGGCATGCCTTAGTTGCACCAGTCCCGGAGCGGGGGACGAGCCCAGCTCATGCCTTGAACTGGCAGAAAATTCCTTTCTGTGGTTTAAACCCATGGTCTGTGGTGCTTTGTTATGGCAGCTTCTGGAAGCTAAGTGCCCCCAGGGGAGCACTCTGGGAAGTGGTGACTCCCCATCACCATAACCTTGGGGAGCAGAGGCCACCCGGGGGATGGCCATCCCGACAGCTGGCGCCGGGGAGTCGCCCAACCCTGAGTTTGCTTGGGGTGCACTGCAGAGCTCTGATGGGCCCTGCTCCCCAGGGCCGGGTCGGATGGAACCGGGGAATCGGAAGTTGCTGGAGACCCCATGGAACCCTGGGTTTCCCGGTACGTGGGCAAGGGTCCCCGGGGCGCTGGCGGTGGCGGTGGAGGGACAGGAGGGACCGCAGCTGTGCGCACACTCTGGGGCCCCTTTCTAATGGCGGAGCTAACCATGGAGGGGCTTCCCCAGGAGGGAGGGAGCTCTCAGCACGGAGCAGGGGTGCTGCGGCCCATCCGGACTTGCAGGGAACTCCTGCCCTGTGTTGGGGCGCTGGAGCCCCCCAGGCCCCTGCCTCTCTTGTCGGGAGCCAGGTGGGCTGTCCTGGAACCTCCGTGGGATTGGAGGACAAGGACCTCACAGAGTCTGGGTTCACCTCTGCAACTGCAGGTCCCTGGCGATCCCGCCCCTCCCCCAGCCTCAGCTTCCTCCTCCCCCGCCCCCACCCTCACTGGACAAGTGGACCTGCAGCTGGACTGGGAGCAGGGCCCATGCGGGCAGGGCCCGGAGCCGGGACGGAGGCAGCCCAGAGGCCCAGCAGCTTTGTCTCTCAAAAGCCTCCTTCCTTTATTCCATGACTCCTCACTGAGCCCCTGTGTCCTGGGTGCCAGGCCCTCTGCTGGATGCTGGGAACTGGTGAGTAAAACCGACCAGCTTCCCCGCCTCCGTGAAGCAGGCAGAAGCAAAAAGGTGAGTCACAGAAAGTTGTCGGTCTGAAGAATCAAACAAGAGGGGAGGAGAGTTAATGCTGTACTCATGAGGGGGGCTGGGGACAGCTGCACCTCAAGGGGACTATGGTCCAGTTCCCAAGCAAGTGGGGAAGCCAGTCCAAGAGACGGTGGGACACGCCTGGTGCAGACACGGCACATGCAAAGGCCCTGTGACAGGAGCATGCCCAAGTGGGCTCCAGCTAGAGCAGGGAGGTCGTGTGGCTGGAACAGAGGAGAGTGGAGAGAGGCAGGAAGGGAAGCCAAAGGGCCAGAGAATGTGGTGACTGCAGCCTTGGAGGACCTGCTGCTGAGCAAGATGGGCAGGGACAGCAGGGTTCGGCAGAGGCATTGTCATGCTGGTGCTGCTGGGCTGAGAACTGAGGTGGAGCGCATGTTATGCCCATGGCTGCGCTGGTGGGCTGAGACCACGGTGATGTTGTTCTGGGCGGTGACACATGGCCACCCCCCCACCCCCGCTTATATTCCGAGCACAGTGCTAATGGCCAGGTGTCGGGGGTGAAACCACTGGGCTGCTGGCTCGTGTATTAGGAAGATGGAATCTTCCGGAAACGGGACAGGGGCAGGAGGGTGGGCCTGGCAGAGACAGATGCTTCCTGATGCCCAACAGGCAGGGGTGCGAGGCAGAAGCCCTGCCTGGAGATAACAGCCGGGGAGCAGTCAGCCCAGAGACAGAACTGGGAGGCTGGACGATGTCAGCCTAGGAATTCAGGACAGAAGTCGGAGCATAGACCCAGGAGAAGAGACAAACTGGAAAAACCAGGTGTGGGGGTCCTGGAAGTCTCCTTCAGCGGGAGGCCATGGTCAGCATGTCCCCCACTAGATCTGGCCACAGGGAGATCACGACTGACCTAGAATTGGGCAGCCCCAGGGGAATCATGGGGCGAGGGACACCAAAGGGTGGGAAGAAAACAGGAGACTGAGAACAATGGGAACCATGAGTCCCCAGGATGGGGGGAGGGGCTCCTCATGGGTCCCAGGGGCTGAGACTGGGCCGGCTCTCAGGGAGGCAGTGGGGTGCTGGGGTCAGGCAGAAGCGCCTTGAACTCTAGGCCCCACCCAAACTACGTGATTCTGGACCAGCTTGGAAACAGGACAGGACTGTCAGAGACCGCAGCAGGCTGGGCCCTGCAGCCCCGCCCACCCCTGCAGCCCCGCCTGTCCCTTCGTATTTGATCCCACCCTTGGCCACATCTGGTTGTCCAGAGGTGGGCTCCTCACCTGACTGGGCCAACTGGAGGCCTTTGAAGGGCCTGGGGTCAGGATGCAGGGGTCTGGGCCCCCAGTTGGGCTGGTCTCTTGGAAGGCCAAGGAAAAAGCCCCCGAGTGATTGTAGGGGCTCGTGTGCAACAGAAAAAAGTGGGTGCTGTCGAGGAGCTGAGACGCGGGAGAGGGAGGGAGCAGTGTCCACCCGCATAGCGCTCGGCTGGGTGGTTTTCTGTTGCTTGTGACCACCACCGGGTCCCAACAGGTGCACCTGCCACCGGGAGGGGGAGGGGGGCATGGAATCAGCACATAGAGGGTGCCCATGAGCTCTCTCGTCCCTCCCTGCCTCCCATCAGGGCAGGACCCTGACTTTCCACCTCTCCAACGCCCCCCACCTCCGCCCCTCGTGCTCCTGGAGGTCTCTCTGCTGAAGGCAAAGCAAACCACGCGGCTTTGAAATCATCAGTCGAGTTTAATACGTCGTACAGAAGGAAAACTACATCGGCATATTTAAGACAAACACTTTTTCTCTACCCTCACTATCCACTGGACGGTCCTCCTTGGTCCAAAAACACTAAGTCTCAAGACACGTTGGCCGCTACCCCTCCCGGGTCCAACCTTCCACATCCTCCCGTTACATTTTTATTTTTAAATTCAATTCAATCCATCCAAGAAGAAACACAAACCAACAAAAAGGATTCTGAAGACATTTACGTCGCACGCCACGCGGGAATGCGTAATTGGCATCAGAGTAACCAATATAGAAGACGTGTGTCTCGCAGCTCACTGTTCATCAATAAAAGAATATAAAAATCTTGTTCAACCCAGTGTTAAGTGTATTAAAATAGATCTGTATCGTACAGCACAGTTTCTCCCGGAGTCGAGAAAATGACGGGAGGGACCATGGCAGTCTGTGGGAACCCGGCCAGCCTCCCCGCTCTGCACCCGTCGGCTGCGCGTGTGCATGTGTGTCTGGGGCTGTGTGTGCACACGCACGCGTGTGTTCAGTGCAATTGGGCACCGTGTGATATGCTGGGGTGGGAGCCCGGTGGCTTCCGGATGCTTATCCTGTTGTGCTATGTCCCTCAGGACTGGAGAAGCTGGGGGTGGACTCCCACCTCAGGAGGCGGGAGCCCTTCTATGACGCGCGTGCCCTCAGCTCTCAGGATCATGAGGAGACAGCAAGAAGAGGGACTCTTGCGTCTCTGAAGGCCAAACCCTCCCGAGGCCACTGCCCCCTCCCTCCCTCCCCACCCTCGCCCTCCCCCCCCCCAGAGGACCCTCCAGATCTCTCCGGTTGGGCCGTCCTCCAGGAGGGGCTTCCGCATTCGCACCTTGCAGCAGAGACCACTGGAAGCAGGAAAAGAAGTCAGCAAGCGTCCCCCCTTCACATTAAATATCTTACAATAAAAACGCCATACAAAAATGTAAAGTTATTTTTTGGCATAAATGTCTGTACTGGCAAGAAAAGAGGAATGGAACACTTTATCGGCTCTTCGAAAGGAGAAAAGAAAAGGCTTCAGTCGTAAGTGGAGGGATTCAACCCCGGATAGAAAACCCACCACGGGCCTCCCCTGCAGCCTGCAGCTCCGTCTTGCCCAGAAACTCCATGAGAAAAAGATATCGATGGCAAAAGGAGTCCAGAAGCTCAGCAGAGGGCAGGAGGTGTACAGCACGGGCACTCCGGAGACCCGGGGTGCGGAGGCCCTGGTAGGTGGAGACCGCAGAGTCCCTCCCCGGAGGGACCCACCTCGTAGTCTCTTTCAAGTTCGACAGCTGTGACTCTGAACGCTAATAATACTGACAGAGCGGGGCCCGCGTTCCAGGAAGGCGCTGGGGCGCCCTGGCCTCGAGCCCCGGGCCCCTGAGTGGGAGGGGCGCGGAGTCCTACCTAGATTCGCTACCCACTGCTCGTCCCAACTACTGCTACTACTTAGCTAGGTCTTCGGGTTCCTGGCTCCCCTCCTGACCTCTGCCCTTCTCTCTCCCGGGGGGCAGCCCGAAGCCAAGGAGACAGCTGTGCCTGGAAGCCAGAGGCCTGGGCAGCCCCCAAAGGGCTGGGGGCTGACTGCGTCCCCGGTTGTCCCATGCCCACCTGGCTTCCTTGGAGTCCCGTCCGAACGTGGACAGGAGGGCTCCATCCCCTCCGGTCCTGGCTCTAGGACTTCCACCCGGTTCCTTCTCCCTTCTTTTCTCTCTCTCTCTCTCGGCTGGGTTTTATTTTCATCTGAAATTCATAGTGTTTATGAATTAAGGCGGACAGAAACCTCAGGTCTGCTGAGCGGGGTCCCAGGAACCTTCTGTGGGTGTGAAGCCGGTCCCGCGGGGTCAGTTGTGCCCCTGGGGGTGCTGGAGGGCAGAGTGCATGGCTGCGGCTGGGGGCTTGGTCCAGGGCCCGGCCAGCAGCGGGGCAGGGCTGGTGGTTGCCATGGTGACCTGCAGCCTCTGCCCACCCTGTATCAGTCTCAGGAGGGTCCGCAGGCGGTCCAAGGACAACTGGGTGCCCCTCTGCTGGGCCAGCAGGCTCGTCTTAAGCTCTAGGCATTTCTGTCAGGGAGAGAAAAGGATTGGGGGGCGGTGTCTCAGAATCCCACCATGCAGGCCGCCTGGGGCTGCCACGCTCTCAGCCCCTCTCCCACCGCTCCTCCCCTCTTGTGGCCAGAGACTGAAAGAAACCAGCCCAAGGGCCTTCCACAAACCAGGCAGCCGTGAGGAATGGAATTGCAGCCAGACACCCAGGAGAAGTTTGTTTCAGAGTTCAGGGCTAGAAATGGTGTGCCTGTGTGGGAGCGTGGAACGTTCTTCCTCCTGACTGTGATGCTACCTCGCTGACCAGGTCATTTCTCCTCCTGCTGAGGAAGCTAGGAGCCACTTCTGGCTCAACCAGAGCAGTGGCAGGAGATCTGTAGATGGCCAGCCCGCTCTCTGCTCTGTCTGCTGCCTGCTGGGCTCTCGTCTTTTAGTTGGCTTTATACGTATCATGGCAATGCAGACAGCAGCTGGCACGGGGCCCCAAGCTGGAGTGTAAGCTACTTGCTCCTCAGGGAAATCAATTCTACTCCCTGAGACTGCACCTAAACTCTGAGACAGGAATAATCACAGAGCCTCCCCTTGGGTTATTCAGATTAAGTGAGACTAGGACCTGGCATTGCCCTTGGCATCATCATTACAACCACCATCACTACTATCATTACCATCACCACCATCACCACTAACATCATCATCACCATCACCACCAACACCACTATCATCACAACCATCATAACCATCACCACCACCACCATCATCATCATCAACCATTATCACCATCACCATCGTCACTACTACCATCACCATCACCCCTCAACACTATCATCATGACCATCACCATCACTACCATCACCACTGCCATCATCACTATCACTATCATCACTATCATCATCACCATTTTAATCACTACAATCATGACCATCACAACAATCATCACCATCATCACTGCCATTATCACCATCATCAACCATTATTATCATCACCATCATCACCACCTCATCATCACTATCACCACCTCAACACTATTATAACCATCACCATCATTATTGTCACTACTGCCATCATCACCATCACTATCATTACCACCACCACCAACCACCACCACTATTATCACAACCATCATGACCATCACCACTATCACTGACATCACTATTACCACCACCGTCACCATCACCATCACCACCATCATCACTGTCATTACCACCATCACTATCATCACATCACCACTATCACCACTATCATCACAACCATCATAACCATCACCACCATCATCATCAACCATTATCACCATCACCATCACCACCTCAACAATGTCATCATGACCATCACCACTGCCATCATCACTATCACTATCATCACAATCACCATCACCACCATTATAATCACTACAATCATGACCATCACACCGTTATCACAACCACCATGACCATCACTACCATCATCACCAACACCACCATCATCATCACCATCATCACTATCATCACATCACCACCACCACTATCATCACAACCATAACCATCACCATCATCATCATCAACCATTATTACCATCACCACCACCATCACCACCTCAACACTATCATCATGACCAATACCATCACTACCATCACCACTGCCATCATCACTATCACTACCATCACCATCACCATCACCACCATTATCACAACTATCACGACCATCACAACCATCATCACCATTGTCACTGCCATTATCACCATCAACCATTATTACCATCACCATCACCACTATCATCACTGACATCACTATTATCACCACCGTCACCATCATCACCATCACGACTATCATCACTATCATCATGACCATCACCATCATCAACCATCATCACCATCACCATCATCACCGTCCTCACCACTGTCTTGTCGACCGCCACACTACAGAAGGGAAGTCATTATGTTCACTTTACGCAAGAAATAGGTTCAGTGACGGGGCTTTGCCACTGACGAAGAGCTAGGTGGGAGGAGAGCTGGAGAGCCTCAGCTGTTTGACAGCTCTCTGCTGAGCAGGTCACAGAGCTGCACTGTCTACCTCCTGGCTTGCTGAGTGATGCTGGGGAGGCTGTCTTCTCCCGGGGCCTCAATAACAGAACAGTGAAGCTCTGGACTTAAATCTTGGGGCTCTAAGGTCCCCCAGCCTCCTGCCCCCACGCCCAGCGAACCTTCACGGCCGCGGCCAGGCGCCGGTCCCGCTCCTCCAGCTGCTGGTGCTCGCTCTGTAGCTCACTGCCTCTCTGTAGCAGCTTCTGCTTCTCTTCTTCCTTGACTGGCGAAGAGAAGGCCAGGTGAGGACACAAGCCAGGTGAGCCAGAAGGCTGGGCCACGGGTGAGCGGGAAAAGCAGTAAGAACCCGAGGTCTACACCTCCAGGCCGTTCTGCCATATCCTCCTGCAGAAGCCGGGGGCCCCGGCTGCACGCCCAGGGGCTGGGAGCACCATTCCCCATACGGGAGCTGCCTGGCACCCAGGACCACTCCCAGGGGCCCTCTTTGCGGGGCTCTGCCTCGGAACAGCTTGGATGGGCCCAGAGTGAGTCCAGAGGATGGGGCTGTGGTTGGAGAGAAGGGAGGCGGTGCCCTTCTCCACTCCCTGAGGCCGTCTTACCCGTCTTATGGGTGACGTAGGAGTGCACAATGGCCAGCATCCCGGTCCAGGGCACACCGTCGTCTTTCTTTAAGGCCTAGAGGGCAGACGGGGAGATGAGCAAGTGGACGGACCAGAAGCTGCCGCGGCCTGGCTGTGCCCCCCGGGGGAGCAGAGGTGCGGAACAAACTCTCTGAGCAGCAGGATCCTCAACCATGATGGGATGGGGCCGCCCCTGCCTCATGGTCGGCTCACAGGGCTCCTCGAGGGCAGGAACCTGTTTCTTGCCAGGGCCCCCCATGGTGCTGGCACGGAGGCCCCAGTTGTTCCTGACTGAATGCATCCACGAATGGCCACCTGCCTTCTTCCCATGTCCTGGGGACCCGAGAGCAGCCCCAGGCAAACGGGGGACACCTCGAGGGCCCAGTGAGGCCCCACCACCATGTCCAGGTGGGGAAGATAATCTTGTGTCCCTCAAAGAACTGTGAGCCCCCAGGCAGTCACGACGCAGGGGCTGGTGGTCCCCCCGGGAGACAGTTACATAGGGCCCACTGTACCCACCCTCTCTTTAAGTCCCCGGGGATGATGGGAACCCATAAGAATCAGTGTTTTCAGAAATAAAGGTGATTCCCCTATGATTTTGCAAGTAACACATCACACAAAAGCATAGGAAAGTTCCCACGTGCCTGTAACACTCGGAAGGCTGCACTCCCCCGTGTCTCATTCTACCTGCAGCTTTCTCAGGGAGGTGACGGAGCTAAGGAACCACTATAAAGCCTGGCGCCTTCTTTCTTTAAAACTTAGGTCCACATAGACAACACGCCCCAAAGGATCACAAACTCTTCATAACGACCATCTCCAGTGACCGTGTAACATGGCCCTGAGCGCACCTGCTGGAATGAAGTTCACGGTCTCCTAGTGCTGCAAGGCAGCTGTATCTCTTCCTTTATAGACAAGGGGCGAGGGGTTTCTTCGTGCACAGAATTTTATCTGTATTTGGATTCCTTCATGGGACTACATTCCCCAAAGCTAGATTCTGCGTTTAAAAGATATATATACCTTTTTAAGGCTCTTGATAAAGGAGTGTCTACCTCCCCGCATCAGCACCAGAAGGGAGTGTTACTGTTTTTTCGAACCTGCTAGGTTTTCCTATGTGTGGCAGCAGGGAGATGGAACGCGGTAGTTAGCTAGCTCTGTTTTGCAGTTTGCGATGCTAGTTCAGGTTCTCCGTCAGGAATCTGGAGCTCAGAGCTGGTGTCACTGGGTCAGATCACTGCAGAGGGGACACCTCTGCTCAGTCGTCCCCAGTGGGCCTCTGCTGGCAATGTCTGAGATGGCCACTATGGGGGTGTACTAGCATCTAGCGGGCAGAGCCTGGGGGCACTGACACCCTACAGTGCACGGGGCAGCCCCACAGACTCCCCAGCCTCAGATGCTGTGCTGGGGGAGGGTCCTTTGGTGCAGGGAGAGTCGGTGGGGGGCGGGAGGGCCCGCTGCCCAGCAGCACAGTCTCCCGTACCTTCTGCTGGCACTTGGGGCACCGCCACACGCCCTTGGGCGCTGTCTTGAGGGGCGGGTCCAGGCAGCTGAGGTGGTAGGCCCCCGGGCAGGTGCCACAGGGCTGCAGGTCGGCCCCTCGCTTGCAGGCGGCACAGTGCTCATCATGGGCGACCTCGCTCTGGAAGAGAATGGAGGGCAGGAGGCAGGTCAGTGGGACTGGGAGAGAGCTGGGGGGGCCCCGGGCAGCTGCCACCCTGACCTGCTTGGGACCCAGTGTTTCTCAGCAGCTCTGGGAGAAAGACGAGCCCAGGAACTGGGAGGACAAGTGGCTGTCGGTACGTGGACTCCAGGGCACCACCTGGGCCACATTTCCTAGGGACACGGCCACTGAGTCAGAGTCAGTCAGGGTATGGCACCCCAGCACCCTGATTCAGCCCACCTGAAACCCGGACGCCAGGCATGGGTAGCAGGGCAGGTGGTCCTGCTGGGGCTTAGGACACAGTCCGCCTGGGCCCCTAATGTCCCACTGTCCCATATCCTGGAGTGGGGGGTGGGCAAGCCAGCGCTCACAAAGCCTCCCTCCTGCCCACTGCCTTGGGGGGTCTGCAGTCACAGCTTTCCAGTCCTCTGGATAGCACCTTGGTCTAACCTGGCATCTCCCAAAATCCCATGTGGGTTCCTGCACTCCTCTGTGCCCACCTCTGTAACAGGGGCTAGTGCCATCTGCCCCACAGGATGCTGGGAAGACCCGACAGGACACACAGAACACACTCCACACAGGAGCCTGGTAAGGGGCAGCTTCCTCTTTCCCTGGGCTAAAGGACCTTCAGACATCCCTTCTAGAGTCGTCCGCCTTGGTTGTTTGGCCTCTGCTTACACACCTACAGGGACGGGGAGCTCACTACCTTCCCAGCCAGCTCGCTGCACTGTGGACAGAGAGAGGAGCCTCTCATCACCCCGTGCCTCCCGTGACCTGCAGAGTCTGAACAATTTCCCACCACCCACTAGAAAACCTTCTCCAGGCATGGGAGGGCTGCTCTCTGCCCATGTGGCTGCAGCGCCTTCTGACTTCACGGTTGCAAAGGACCAGAGGGCTCTCATGGGGGTGACCCACACCACGAGGACCCCGGACCCCAGGCTGTCCTTGATGGAGGGGGCAGCAGACAGAGATGAGGCCTCAGAGGTCTGTTGCCAGCACTCACGTCAGTGCAGGAGCCCCGGGCCAGCAAGCCATGTGCCCAAGATCGCTCAGTGAGCCGGAGGTGGATGCCGGACCAGTGGCGGGGTCCCCTGCCCCGAAGCCACGGCCCCTCCAGGCCTGGGGTCTGTGGCGGCAGGGCTCAGGCTCGAGGCCCATCCTGCTCCCCCGCTATTGGGCACAGGTGTCTGTGGATGAGCACGACAGGCCATCAGCACCAGTCTGTGACACTACATGGTTCTGGTGGCGAAAAGGCCAGGATCACCAGAGTTTAAGCCTGTCGCCTGCTGCTGCTCAGTAGCCTGTTATAGGCATGTGGGGGCTACCAATTCTTTTAGGATTTGATCCAAAACTTATTTAGAAAATGAGGTCACAGGGCGCCTGGGCAGCTCAGTGGGTAGAATGCTCTTCTGACTTTGGCTCAGGTCATGATCTCAGGGTCTTGGGATCGAGCCTTGCGTCGGGCTCTGGCTCCGTGCTGAGTCTGCTTCTCCCTCTCTCTCTACTACTGCCCCTGTTTGTGCTCGCTCGCTCTCAGATAAATAAAATCTCAAAAAAAAAAAAAAAATGAGGTCACAACCAGCTTATGTCCTGAGAAGCAGGGACACCAGTGTGCGTGGAGAGTAGGGGTCTCACAGGATCACTGAAAAGGATTCCTGAGGGGTGACACCCTGAGGATTACGGGGTCTAGACCCTCGTGAGGTGGGCAATGATGACCCGAGAGAGCCAGCTCCCCCTGAGGTCACACAGCAGGGCCGAGCAGAGCCAGGTAGAGCCTGGCCGGCCCTGGCGTCAGCGGCCGCCTCCTGGGCTTTCTTGGTCCCGGGGTCCCTGCGTCCTCAGCAGCGGGTGGAGAGAGGTCGTGTTCGAGCCGCCTGTGGGCTGACCCGGGTGGTCCTGCAAAGCTCTCGGTAGGGAGGACTGAACCCGAAGGCCCTCCCCTCGGCTCACCCCTGCCAGGAGCGCCCCGCCTGTACCCGCCCCACCCCGACCTGCCATTGAGGGGACACCTACCTTCCAGCAGGGGTCCTCATTGGCTAGCACAGGGAAGAAGGGCGGAGAACACGTTAGCGGGCACTGGAGGGGCACCAATCGGGACCGGAGGCCACGAGGCCCGGTGAGGCAGGGCTTCCCACCTGGGGCAAGGCGGGAGCATCCCAGACTCTGGTCCTCACCTGGGGTGGGACGGGAGCATCACGGGCCCTGGGACACCCAGTTCTCACCTGGGACATGGCGGAATTCAGGGTCTCTGCCCTGGTTGTGGCCAGGACCCACCCTGGGACGGGCACCAGGCTGCCCCACAGGCAAGCCATCCTTCCAGGGACCTCTCACAGGGACTTATTTTCAACTGTGTGTGTGGTTTTTTTTGTCCATAACCCACTCTCCTTCTAGTAAGTGAGGCCAAACCACATATTTAATGATCACAAAACATGGTTTTTCTCAGTTGCTGGCTCAGAGCCGTCCGCAGAGGACACTGTCCAGAGGGGAGCAGAGCTTCTGTGTGTAAGGAATATTTGACCGTTTACCACAGGCTGTCACGTCCAGCCCTCACGTCATCATCCCGGCTCGGGGCCCCGGCTCTGGCACAGGCTCCGCAGGCCCTCCTCCTCCCCACAGAAGATGTCGGGGCAAAGGAGGCCACGGCGAGGAGGGCCCGGGAGCTAGAAAGCACCATGCACCGGAAAGCAGCTCTGTCCTCACACAGGCCTGGAGTGGGGGGTCACCCACGCTGCCTTGGCCCCGGGCCCGGGGCAGCCCTGGGGAGCCACGGTCCGCGGGCACCTACCTCTTGCTGTGAGGAACAGGGGGGTGTTGAGATAGTTGGACGCCAGCCGTTTCCTCTGTAGGGGATGGAAAACAAAACAAAAGCATCTCACATGGAGCTCTCCTCGGAGACACGGCTCCTGCCCAGGAACACCCGGGACAGGCTCCCACCCACGGCTCCGGAGGTCACAACTAGGACGGATATGGGGGCAGCAGGGTGGGGGAGCGGCAGGTGAGCCGGCTATGCCCCGTGGGAGGCACGGAATCTCCCCTGTCCCCTGGGGATACAACCACCTCGCTCAGGAAGGACGTCCTAGGGACCCCAAATCGGGTTTCTGGCACAATCCAAAAGGGGGCTTCAGTCACGGGCCAAGCCTGTTCAGATACTGGTTTGGGGTGGCTTTGCTGCGGAGGGGAGATGGGTAAGTGGCGTCACTCCCTCCTCTCTCGATGTGGTCGGGCTGTGCTCACAGCTAAGGGCGAGGCCCGTGGAGGGCCGCTCCCGGAGCTACGGTGGGTCCTGGGCTCAAGGGTCAAAGCGTCGAGCTGACTCCTGACTTGCTAATCAGGTGGTTTCCCACCAGCCACCACAGACTTGGGACACTACGTATGGCTGGGCTGGCAGAGCGGTGGATGGCTTCATCGGTGAGCACAGCAGAGGGGACAGGGCCCTCGTCATACAGATGGCACACGGCTTCCTCGAGTGCTGGTCAAGAAACAGCTCAGCGACAATCTTTCAGAAGGGGCCCAGTTCTTAGGACACCATCTCAGGGACAAAGCACACTCAGGAAAAGAGCGGGGAAGCGAGCGGTATGAAGACGGGCGTGTTCTCTATGCAGAAGCCGGGACGACAGAAGCAGAGGCCAGGGGCAGGTGGGCTCCCCGACTTGGGCAACCATCGCTCGGGCCAAGACCCCTGCCCCCTCCCCACCGAGTTCCAAGTCTTTGACAGGGACTCAGGACAGCAGCTTGGACTGACCAACACTCTGGGGAGGTGAGAACAGCAGGACCTCGACCCTCCCACAGGCCCTCCTGGGACCTGTCCCCCTGGCAGGGACAGCCCGAGTCTGGAAGGTGCCGGGCGCCGGCCTCTGGGGACCTCGCTCGGCTTCAGAGAGCTGCCGCGACTGCCAGACCTCAGGCCCCAAGGAAACGGCTTCCCTGTTAGGGGGTGATTCTGGGGCTGCTCCCCGGGGCCTTGACAGGGCTCCACACCTGATCATTGGGGTGAAGAACTAGGAAACCTTGTAAACTGCACCCAGGCCACGCTCCCCAGTGCAGCCCGAGTGAGGACCCCGCTGTTCTCATCTCCTGCGTCTGTTTCTCAACAGATTGTGAGCTCAGGAGGGGAGGGACATCATTCATGGTCATGCCCCGAACGCCAGTCCCCGGAGGGGCAGGTGAGGGAGTGTAGGGCCTCACCTCTGTCTCCAGGAGGCCACTGTAAGCGGGATTCGCTGTGCTTCTTCTCTTCCGCTCTTGGCGTTTGCTCTGGATTTCTGTAAAGGCACAGACACAGCGGTTACTGGATCCTTCCTGTCCTGGGAACCCTGAACTCTTCCTCTGCAAACCCTGGGCGTCCCGGTCCCCTCCCCTGCTCTGCAGCCTATCTGCCCAGCGTCCCCGCCCCAGAGTGGCTTCCGAATCACTCACTCTGGGGCAGACGGGTGGGCAGGTGCGATCTCGGCGCGGGAAACCCCATGTGCCATCATCCAGTCTGGGGGCATCTCTCGGGGGATGTCTGCCGGCCAGGCTAGTGCCTGCCCAGCTGCACAGGGAGGCTCAGGGCAGCCCCAGGAACCAAGTCCACCTGCCGCTCAGGTGGGCTCTGCCCACGTGAAGCCTCCCACACGAATCCTTCTGAGAGGGCCCCTGGTGTGGTGTTTCCTGCAGTGACCGTGACCACCCCACACGCATGGTCCCCCGCTTTCCTGCCTTCTGCTTTGCCTGCCACATGGAACCTGGGATCGGTTTCTCTGAAAACAGCTGTTTTGACATGTTTTTCTAACTTGTCTTTTGGACTCAGTTTTTCCTTTTAAATCTTTGCAGTATCATTCATGTGTTTCCTGTAAGACACCCCAGACCAGGCTCCAAATAAATAAATACTTAGGGTCTCATGGGCGGGGGGAGAATTTTTACGAGGAGAGCTACTTATAAAAAGCATAACCACAGTCAGGAGGTATCAGGAAAGCTTTTTCATCCCAACCTCACGACGACACTGCAATATTTCAAGGTGCAGCCTTCCTCATGTTGCGGGAAAAGGAGGCGGAGGTTCAGAGTGGAGGGAGCTTGCCCACGGTCCCCCGGGTCAAAGCAGCACGAGCAGGACTCAAATGCAGACCTTCGGACGTGACTGGGAGGGCCCAAGCCCGAGTGGCTAGCAAGTGGCAGGGCCAGGCGGTCGGGCTCCAGCGACTACCTCCTTGGGCTGCGTGCAACGGGGGAGCACAGGACGAGCACGGGACCCACACGGTCCCTTTGCCAAAACCAGGAGGTGGGCTCCGTGCAGACAGCCACGGAACCGGGGGGAGCAGGAAGGCTTTCTTGGTCTTTGCGCTGACGACCCTGGCACTTGGGACAGACCTCCCAGGAGGCGGGTCACTGGTGGGCGCTGCCTTCCCGCCAGCCAGCAGCCCAGCCTGCTGCCGCGCAGAGCCTTACCTTCCAAGTGCTCTGTTGTGACCAGGCCCAGAGCTACCATGAAGGCGATTTTCTGAGGGAAGGAAACAGAGAAACGTTAACACGGCCTCCAGTGTCCATTGATTCAGTGAACACTGCAGAGCGCCTCCTTATGGGGCTGGCTTCTCGGTTTCGGGTTTCCTTCGTTTTCACCTACTGTCCGTCCCAGGACCCCACCCACGACCCCACGCTGCGTTTGGTTGCTGTGTCCCCTTAGCTCCTCTGGGCTGTGCCAGATTCTCAGGTTGTCCTGGTCATTAGTGACTTTGACCGCTTAGAGCTTGGGCTGGGCAGGAAGGACACCCCTCAGCTGGCACCGGTCTGATGGTTTCTCATGATGACACTGGGTTATGGGCTTGGGGGCGGGAGACCACAGAGGTGAACCCCTTCCCAGCCCACTGTATCTGGGAACGTGTCAGCCGCGTGACTCCTCTGTCGCACGCTGCCCTCGATCATGGGGCTGGGGCGTCGCCTTCTCCATGACACATCCCCTCTCTGTCCCCCGTCCACACTGTCCTCGTTGGGAGGACCTGGCTGTGCACCACTCACACTCCAGGAGGTGGGAACAGTGCTTTTTCTGGCCACTAGATGGAAAAACTTGGGTGCAGTAGAATTTACCAGTATTCTCTTTTTCACTGTCTGGCTTTTTGAATCTTACGTACAGACACGGGTTACAAAGCAAGCTGCCTGTGTCTTATTGTAGTACCTGTAACTTCACTGTTTACATTTATTTCATTATTACTATTTGTAAGTAGGCTCCACGCCCAATGCGGGGCTCAGACTCACGACCCTGAGACGGAGAGTCCCATGGCCACCAACCGAGTCTGCTGGAGGCCCTCATGGTTCACATTCAAATTTTTGATCCGTTTGGAGTTGACCCTGGTGTCGACTGTGTGAAGGATGGATTCCTTTCATTCCATCGGCATTGGTTTCTTCCAATCCCACTTACTGAAAATTCTACTACTCCACTTTTTGCTGGTTTAAGGAGCCCTTTTAAATCATATACTGAATTATCTCGAGTCTCTGTGGTGTCTTTCCATGCCTCCTCTCCCGTTCCTAGCTGTGCGGGAGCGACGGTGACACCTTTGGTTCCCCGGCATCACGGGGTTCTGGCAGAATTCAAACCCCTCCCCTGTTCTTCCTGTGTCTTCTTGTGTATGTTTTCATGTGAAACTCAGAAACCATGAAGGATACCGAGGTGTGTTTATTGGGATGATGTGAAAATGATAATACATTAACTTGGGTCGTGACGATAATTTTCGGACGTAAAATTCTCCTTTCCGGAACCACGGTGCGCCCCTCTGTTCTTCTGCCTTCGGGGGTTTCAAACGTACCCTCCAGTGGCTGTCCACTGTTGTTAGTGTGTTGATTTTTTTAAAGATTTTTTTAGTTATTCATTTGAGAGAAAGAGAGAGTGAGAGCAGCGGGGAGGGGTAGAGGGAGGGGAGAAGCAGACTCAATGCTGAGCAGGGAGCCTGATGTAGGGCTGGATCCCAGGACCCCGGGATCATGACCTGAGCTGAAGGCAGATGCTCAACCCACTGAGCCACCCAGGTGCCCCTAGAGGTTTTTTTTTTCCCTTTTCTTAAGAAAGGGAGAGAGAGAGATACCTCTAGAGAGAGGGGCAGAGGGAGAGGGAGAGAGAATCTCAAGGAGCTCCCTGCTGAGCACAGAGCCGGACGTGGGGCTTGATCTCTTGATCTCAAGATCATGACCTGACCCGAAATCAAGAGTCTGGGAGTTCAACCAACTGAGCCCCCCAGACGCCCCAATCCCAGGTATTTCATCTTGTTGCCGCTACGGCAAGGAGAGGGTACCTGGGAGGCTTCTAACACGCTACTCTGCGTGTCTGTGACAATTATCATTGGTTTGCATTAATATTAACCCTGCCGTGCCCGATTCTGTTGGGAGTAGTTTTGTTTTTGTTTTTTAATTGATTCTCTTGGGTTTTCTACACCATTTCAAATAGTGACTACCCGCTGTTCCTTTGCTTTTTTTTTTTTTTCTCCACTTCTATGCTGTTCAAAATAGTTCTACTCCTCAATCTGTCTGCTTTCTGTGTTACAGGGGAGGCCTTTGGACGTTGCTGGAAGAACGTAGGATGTACACTCGGAATTTCAGCCCCACTCGGCTCCCCGAGGCAGGGTCCGGCGTGCTCCCTGCCTCTCGGATCATAGCCAGGCCCACAGAGTCACATCTCCTGAGTTCCTGGGCAGATTTAAACCCTGGCATGCCCAGCCTGTCAGCTGGAAGGCCAGCTGGACTGGACATAAAGGCTCTCCTTTCTTCCTTCAGGAAGGGGTAGATACTGCTCTACCGTATTCTGGGCTTGAATGCTGCCAGCATTCTTCCCTGCAGAGTGACATGATCACTTTTGCCTGGATGACTTCCAGAGGCTTCTGTGCTGGGTGACGGGATAGTGTGGACCCTTCTCCCTTGGCGCACGCATTCATTTTCCCTGGTGCCCAGTACCAGGGACAGAGTCCGTTAACACGTACATAGTCTTTCTTCTTTGATTTTCATCAACTTTTCTTAAATAAGGTTAAAAAAATCGGGACGTACCACACCATGGAAAGGGGGGGCCGTAAATTCCTGGCAGGTGTGCGCTCACACGAATGCAAGACTAACAAAATTATTAATTTTTTTGCGGCCACAGGGCAGATTCTGGGCTCCAGCAGATTCGGCCGATGGCAGTCCGAGCTGCCATTCGGGGCCACCTGGCTTCAGTGTGGTTTCCGGGCCCCGGGGCTGACCACACGGTGGCAGGGACTCTAGGGGAGCCCTCCAGTACCGTTGCCTGCCTCGCTGACCCCACCAGGAAAGACTGGACTGAGCAAAGACCAGCAATGTGGAGACCATGCTCCCCGCTCCCGTCACCCCATCCTCCACAGGAGGTCACTTGAGTCCACACTGACTGGAGGACAGGAAATGGGAGAAAACTGCCTCCATGGAGAGAGCCAAACCCACGTCACTGTGGGTGGTGGGAAGCGCCACTTTATCTCCTCCGCTCCGTAATTCTGGGCTCTGGTTCAGAAGCCTCCGCTTATACGTCAGCTGGGTCCTCTTGGCTTAACTTCATAGGGATCACTCTTGACTATTTAAAAACTCCTTCTTCCTTTTCTATTGTGTGTACTTTGCGCACTCGCTTCTGCCTCCTCCGTCCCTCACTGTGTCTTCTGCCGTGTCCAGGGCCCCCTGAGCTTACCCACTCAGATTTATTTCCGTGCATAATTCCAGCTCACACTTCATTCTCTCTGGTACGGTGACCACTCAGCCTTCCCCTCCCCAAACTCAGCCTTGTAACTTCTTCATTAGTGGTGATTCTTTTCTGTTCTCTTTCTTTGAATACACAGTAAAGTGTTGATTTTTTTTTTTTTTAATCTAGGGAGTATCCTTTATCCTATGGTAAAAATGCTCTTGTTTCCCTATTTTTTCCTTCAAATGGCTTTGCAATGATGCTTTGCCCCATGCTTCCTTTGGTTAAAGGTTGCTGGAGGAGGTGACGGTCACTGGATCAGCTCTGAGCAGGGGACGGCAGGAAGCAATTTAAAAGCTCCTTCGAGTGAACTGACTTCATTCCGTGTATATTACAAATTATTGCTTCTTTCTCTGTAACTCTGTGCTGTATCTGTGGTGGTGTATTCTTTTGCTTATATATTCTTTTGTTTTTTTGTTTTTTTGTAGGGTGGGTAGAACAGAGGAAGAGGGAAAGAGAAAATCTTAAGCAGGCTCCATGCCCAGTGCACAGCCTGATGTGGGACTCGATCTCACGACCCTGAGATCATGACCTGAGCTGAAATCAAGAGCTGGACGCTGAACCGACGAAGCCCCCCAGGTGCCCCTAAAGCACCCGTGATCCCTGTTCACTCTGTCCAGTACCTTTTTAAATTTCAACGAATTACATTTTTCCTTCTCAGATTTTTCAAACCATTTTTATATTCACCCAATCTTACTTTGTTTTTCATGGTATTTTTTTGCTTCATTATTCCTTACTGAATTCAAGGGCACATTATTCCTTTCTGAGAAAAATCTGCGTGAGTACCCTAAGCGTGCTTCTGTGTTAGGCGTTGCTAGAGTAGGCCGCAGACTGACTTCCTCCTGGATGAACTCAGGCTCCAGACGCGGACTGTGCCTGCCGTCCTTGGCAGGGGTTGTTGCCCAGATTCCAGAATTTTGTCCACAGGGTCATTTTGGGTACAACTCCTTTTTCTCTTCCTTCTGCATTTCTGTCTTCTCTGCCTCCTGCTTACCCATCCCTTTGGGCAGGACTGCCGTCCCCCCTGGCCTTGCCTCCCTCCCCAGGGGCAGCTGTGGCCTCCAGCTCAAGTTGGCTCCTTTCTTTCTTGGAGAACTTTTGCGAACCTCTGTCCTGGTCACTCTCACCCAGCGGTGGCCCCGGAGCCCGGGGGCCTGGCATCGGTCCTGCTCACTACTTGGGTTTCTGGGAAACAGCCATATACAGCTACCTTTCTGGGGTCTCTTCCTGTCGCTAGCCAGACCCCGAGACCTGACCTTGAATCCACCCGCTTGTACTCGATAACCTCTCTTCTTCCCCAAGCTCTTCTTTTGGAATTACCTCTTAACTCTGGCAAATATGACCTGAAACTGCTCCTTGGTGGGATGGCCACTGCCCTGGACCATCTGAACCAAACTTGGCCCATGCTCGCCCAGATGGGCCGTGGAGCGACAGTGCTCCATGAGAGAACCCAAACCACTACAGAGCTGACTGACATCTCTGCTCACGGAGGAGCCCCAGCCACACGTACATAACATACAATGTACGTACAGACATGTTCCTTCAACACGTGTGCGTGACCTCATGCGCGCCTCTACAAACGATGACAAGGCTTCCCCATCTAAATATTCATCCTAATCCTAAATGAAAGGTACCCATTCACCCTGTCTTAGGGAGTCACTGCATTGGAAGTGACTCCCTGTGACCTCCTTATTTGCTGCAAATAAAGTTGACTTTGTGCGATTACTCCGCCTGGCGTAGCTAATTTGCCAAGAGGTGAACTCACGTCGCTTTGGTTACATTCTAACATTTTATCTGCTGTTGCTGTCGTGTGCAGTGGAGTGCTATGTCAGGAGCCCGAGACCCCTTGATGGGTTTCAAGAAGGGGAGGGTGTCTCGGTTATTTCTGAATTTTAAGAAAATCTTTCTAGCTGCCTGGAGAATACACAGGGGGGGCGACCCCATCCGGGGGCAGGAATGGGGACTGTGGTAACAGGGATGGTGTGGAGGGAAGGAGCATGTGTGTGCACACGTCTTGCCCAGGGAGGTGGCTGGGCCCTTGTTCTGGCTGTCCCCCTGCAAGGCACACACCGGTTTGAGGGTGGCCACAGTCTCAGTCAGATGCTGCCTGAGGCCAGGATAAGGGGTGGCACAGAAAAGGCCACAGTTCTGTCCTAAAGGCCATGGACCATGAAACAGGGAAGAGTGGACAGAGCCTTGGAGTTGTCCTGGGTGCTGGTAAACTTGAGGCTCCTTTCCACCACCAGGCTGGCCTGCCACGGGCTTGCTCACACAGCCCCGGGAGCCACCGATGGTCACCAGCTACCTCAGAGCTCCAAAGGGCTCATCTGAGGAAGTTTCTAGGGCAGCTGCCGCTTGGGCCTCAAGGGCTCCTGACTTGGGCTCTTCATGAACAGGTTTCAAAGACGCCACCAAGCCCCGCGTCAGCACCACACAATGCTCCCAGACCTCTTTAAAAAGAAAGTTTAATAAGGATTTTTACGCCAGGACATGTTGTAATTACAAGTTCTATGTAAGTCATTACATGTATTTACACTAATTATGTTGTTAAATGTAATTATGCTAATTGTATAAACGCACCATAGCTGGATTCCATGTACTTTGGGAGAGCGCAGAGGATCCACCCAGAAAACCTTCGACAGCGCAGTGGGCGCGAGGCAGCCCCGTGGGAGGACGGAGGGGTGCGCGGGGGAGCCTCGGGCTGCAAGCCGGCCCGGGGCTCACCGTGCAGACGACAGGTGCTCCCACGGCACCGAGGGATGGAACTGAGTGCCTCTGGAGATAAACGGGGCTGGGGCCGCAGGCCAAACTGTGTTGCATCTCAGCCTCAGCAAGTGGTGGGCTCTGGCTCCCTGCAGGCTTTTTGGACACTCTCCTGCTCCAAGACATTCCGTGGCTCTCCAGTGCCCAGGGACTAAAGTTGCACCTTGGCAGCCTACATGCGGGTCCTCCAGGATGAGGCTCCGGCACCCCTCAAGCCTGTGGTCAGAATTTCTCATGCGTTCGTGCTGCCTGGGCTCCGAGTAGACCAGCCGACTCCCCTGAGCCTGCCAAGGGCCTTCCCACCTTCCACGTGACCGCCTGGGGAGCGCCCTCTGCACCATACACCACCCCCCACGCCTCTGCCCCCTCTGTTGAAGCCCCACCTGCTCCCTGGGCCCTGCCGATCCCGCCTCTCCTCTGCAAAGCCTTCACCAGTCCTCTCAGCTGCAAACACGCTCTCCCCTTCTCTCTGCCCCTCCTCCCCCAGCTCTGGATTTGCAATTCTCTGAGGACACTTGAGTTTTTTTAGCCAAAGTTGAACTCCTAGTGGTCATACCAAGAGCAGCGAGGTCCCCTAGGGCCAGGACTCCATCCGCCCCAGCTCAGCATCCCGACCCTCAGCACGGAACCTGGCACCCAGCCAACCCTAGGACATGTCTGATGAATGATGAAGGGATGAAAGACTGACTTCTTCTGATACCGACAGCATATTGATAAAAAGAATCCTTAGGAGCTCTAGGATCCCTGTGGGGCCTCTTCTGCCCACTGAGGAGAGGTGGTCAGGGAAGGCTGCCTGGAGGAGAGGACATCTGAAGTGAATCTTATAGGATGAATGAGAATTGGGTAGGGAAAGAAGGGGGGCTCCAGGTGAGGCCAAATGCATGGAAAAAGGCCCAAAGCGTTGACTGTGACCCAGTAGGACAGAGGATACAAGAGGAACATGAGAGGGGTCACCTGCTGGCACCAGAAGTTACCAAAGAGCTACTGGCCTCTTACACCCCAAAGAGCAGGGGCTTCTGTGCTAACCATGGATTAGGACAACACCACGAGGGCCCACGTATCCCTCCTCCCTCTGGGGGTAGGTGGGGAGATGACACTAATGCACAATTTCTGGAAAGTTCTACAGGTACTTTCAGGAGTCAGCTGCCTCTCCCGCGCCAGCCCTGGCTGCAGCTGACTTCCAAAGCATCTGCGGTCTCGCTCTGCCAGCCCTCAGATGCTTAAGAGTGGCCACAGGCAGGGAAAAGAGGCAGGGTCATGGCAGCGCCACGTGGTGTGAAGAGCCCTGCCTCCTGCCGGAGGAGACCCTGAGCCATGGATCCTCCCAGCTGTGCCCTGCCCTGTGTCCCCGCCTCCCACGGCGACACCCAGAGCCCAGCCACCCTACCTCGGGGTTCTCCTGGCTTGGGGGCCGGTCCTCCTCCTTCTTTTTGGTCGCCTGAGCTCCCTGAGATGGCTCCTCTGTGGGCGGCCGCGGCTCCGCCGTGCTCTCGGGCTGCGTCTGCACCTGAGGCTGGATGATGATGACCTGGAAGGCGGGGCAGGGGTGCGGGGTGAGGGGGGCAGCCACAGAGGGAGAGGGGAGCCGGGAGGGCCGGAGCGGCACGGGGCCTCGGAAGGCAGGATTACAGAGCAACGAGGCAGCCTGCACCAAGCCCTCCCATCCAGCAGGCGACTGCACCCGGTGGGCGCCTCCGGACAGCCCTTCACACAGCGAGGAGGATCTGCCTGAGAACGAGCCTGGTTGCCTAGAACCCTGAGCGGACTGGGTTCAGTCCTGTGCTACTGTGTCCCAGCTGTGTGACCTTGGGGAGGTCACTTTGCCTCTCTGAGCCTCACCTTCCTTGCAATCCTCCCTCCAGGGCGGTGGTGAAAATTCAGGAAGCAAAGACTCAGAAGAGCTTGGTTTCTTCATCCCCAGCTCAAGTGCAGGGAAACTGAGGCCAAGAGGGCTCAGCTTTGCCACCTGAGGTCATCAGGGGTCTGTCCGAGTGCACTGCCCAGTCTGTCCCCTCCCCAGCCCGCCCTGTGTCTGAGGCTTTCAAACATGGCCGGGGGGGTAGGGGTGGGGAAGGGGGAGGTGGGCTCCAGATCCTGCTCAGCACGGCCCAGAGTGGCCCTACATTGTCAGCTGTCATCAGGGTTCGCGGCCATCGTGTGGTTTGATGGAAGGTCTGAGGCTGAGAACCTGAAAACAACTTACACAGCCCAGCCGCTCCCTGCGGTAGATACCCCTCCATCTGGGGCTCGGTGACTTTGTTCATCTTTTGGACGGGAAACTGGGGAGGAACCATAATCTCTCATGGATCCAGGAGAAGGAATTCAACAGGAACAGTCAACCAGGGTCTCACCCAAGCCAAGAATAACCTGAACTTGTATTTTTTTCCCCTAAGAATGTGACCATCTTGTAAATTTGAGGCTTCTAAACAGGAAGGAAAAAAGGCACCCATTTTTCTGCTGGCTTACGGGAGACCCTTTGTTCTCCTTTTTATCACAATTTTAAATCCCTAGAATTCTCTAGATGGAAAAAAACATGTCCTTCTTTATATTCATAGGAAGAAAACCATTAAGAAACCCAGTAGAAAATGGCAAAAAATATTCTCAAACGTGTCACATGGAAGGAGACAGAATTCTTGAAAAGTATGGGGGAAACATCCAAGCTTCCTAATAACCCAAGGAATTCAACTTTGAACAGCGAGCATCTGTTTGCCCCAATTAAATGAGCAAAATGTGTTTAAAATGACAGCACTGAATGCTGGTGAGCTTGCAGTGAAAAGGGCACATGCATCCCACAAAAGGCACCCCACAGACACCTGCTAAGTGTCCCCTGGGGACCAGGTATGATCCCGAGGAGAGCGCCTCCCCATCCTGTGATGACTGAGAATCCCCAGGGCTCCCGTCCACGGGTGGGAGGACCCAGAAGTGTAGTGCGCCCAGACACACACCGTGTGCCGTAAAATCCAGGTGCTCAGAAATGGAGCACCAGCTTTCAGGCTGGGAATTAGGAGGGACGCTGGCCCCAGACAAGAAGAGGGAGGCAGCCTGGCAGGCCCCAAACTGGGCACAGAGGAAAGGAGGCTAAAGAGAAGTGGTACCTTTCTCGCAGCCCCACAGCCCCGAAGGCCTGACCTTACAACCTCCATGGAGCTCAGAGGGGGACAGGGAGAGGACCTCAGTTTCCTTTTAAATCTCGGCAAGAAATCACGGACTTTCCATTCGGGCCTGGGCTTCCCCCAAAGTCCTTGGCTACCTGACTACACCGGCCAGAGGCCCAGCACAGCACAGGCTTCGTCCGGCCACATTTCCTACTGGTTAAGTCATGATTCCAAAGAGGGAAGTAATTCACTCAGACCAGTCCTTCTTTTCCCACCGGTGTTCACCACCCAGCTGTGTGTTCCCTCAATGACACGCACACTCACTTGCATCGTGGCACACACGTGCCGACCCATTCCCTTCCCCTCCTGCTCACACCGCCCTCCGACCGCCAGGTCACTCGCTCGCTCCATCACGCCGCAGCCCAGTCCCGCCAGCGCGGACACCCTCGCGGGACTGCCCACTCACACCCCATCCATTCCAGGGGCTTCTGGGTCCTTCTGCCAACCACGAACTTGCTCTGCTTGGGCAGCCGCCTCCCGCGTGAGCGGGCACACACCCACCTTCTTGTCGGCGCTGATGAGGAGGGGCTGGACCTTGACGCTGTCGCTGACCACAGACACCGCGGTGCTGGGGGCGATGGCGGCGGCATTGCTGGGGGCGGTGGAGATGATGGCGTAAGCCACCCCGGCACTGCTCAGGGGAGAGGCGACGGCGGCGGGCTCAGCGAGGGCCTGGGGCTGGCTGCCGGGCGCTGGCACATGGCTCACGGTGTTGTTGGCGGTGGGGAGGGCTGGGCTGGGGTTCTTGATACTGACCACGGTGGCCTTCTGGAACGTCGGGGGCTGCTTGGGTGGCCGGTCCCGGCCTGGGGTGACGGGGAGGCTGTCTGGAATCAGAGTCTTTGGCCTAACCTGGGGAGGGAGGGACAGGTGCACGGTCACAGACACACAAGCAGGCAGAGGCGGCGGCCCTGAACAGACCCGGCACTTGGGACAGATGCCCCCTCCCCGGGCACTGACACAGCCAGGCTCAGAGACCTCCCATGTTAGAGGGGAGGGGACAGCAGCGGAGAGCCCCTTCAGCTCAACTCAGACAAGACAGTGAAGAACAGCGGAGGGGGGATGGGAAAGCAGCCCGTGGACCGGTCAGGGGCCCTCTGACTTCAGCTGCAAAGCAGCAAGCTCCCTCTGACGCCAGAAGCCCAGAGCGTTGTTGCTGGGATGGTGACCAGGAGGGGCCATGGGGGCTCCTGGCCCCGCTCCGTGGGCTCCTTGGTCTGGGTGGGGCATGCAGTGAGTTAAAGCCGGTGCAGGAGGCTAGGACGTGGTTAGGCCAGGGCTCCGGATGGCTCGATCTGGGCCGATGCCCCCTCCAGCGCCCGAAGTGTCGGCACGCACCTCCTATGTGCGCCGGGGGGTTGGGGGTGCACACACAAAGTGTTGTGTTCATCCCAGCATTCCTGCGACCAGAAACGAGCCTCACGCCAACCCCGTGAGATCTGCGCCAGGGCCACCTTCTTGGGGACTAGCAGGCCGAAGAGGACTTGCCCTGTCTTGCCTCATGTAAGCCCGGCTGTGACCGCACTGCCAAGCTGCCATACGGCCTATTCTACAGATGAGCAAATGGAGGCCTGGAGGGGAAGTGACTTAGCCCCTGAGAAAAACGATGCCCCAGGCGTCACTGTTGGGGTAGCGGGACACGCACTCAGGACTTCCACAGGCCTGCCTAGTGTCCATGAGGGCTGGAGGTGTGCAGTGTCGGCCACACCCATCACCCTCACCCATCACCAGTGACCTCCGTGGAGGGAGGGGTCAGGGTGGCTCCCCCGGGGCTCTCTGACCTGGCATAGGTCATGTCAGGTGCCCTGTGCCCCTCAGTCAAGCCAGCATCCTATCTGCCTGCTCCTCTCCAGGGTCCACTGCAGAGCCGGCCTCGATGCAAGGGTCCCTCCCTTCCCCCTCCAGGTGGGGTCTCCACCACAAGGGCCTCCCACTATCAGGGGACCCACCAAGTCATATGATCCTGTCCTGCTCTGTCCTTGGTCCGTGGGGTCGGGATCAGAGCCTGACACCAACACTAATACTGAACGTGGGAACCTCGGACGACGCCAGCTTGGGGACAGCTGTGCTCTGACTCTGCTGGGGACAGGTGGGGCAGATGGGAAGAGGGGTGGTTAAGGAGGATCACCGCTGTGAGGTCAAGGGAGGCCGTTCTGTGCTGTCGGTCCCTCCTACCCCGGTCACTCCGGGTTCAACACCACGTGACCCCAACTCTGCACGTCGGGGAGCCGTGCCCAGGCTGCAGGGGCTGGCCTCCGAGCACAGGGGCCTCCAACCCAGAGAAAACCTATTCAGGGGACCCTAGAGCTCGTGACTTTCAGCTGGTGCCACTTGGAGACGAGCTGGGTGCAGACCCAAGCCGGGCCTCCTCCCATAGGGGCTCCTGGGGGGCCTTCCTTGCCCTCCATGCTCTCTTCCTTCCCTGGGCCTGGTGGGAGTCAGCACAGGTGGGTTCCTGGGAAAGGCTGCCCCTCGGACAAGAGCTGCCATGCATCACCCCCGAGCGTGGGGCGTCCGTCAGGAACTGTCCTCACCTCTGAGCCACCAGCATATGGAGCACACAGCGCGTGCTCAACAAGGCTGAGCGGGGGTTGACCGCCAGCAGGCATGGTCATACATGGTCGTACTGATTCAGCTTCATGGCCACCAAGGAGGCCCCTGCACCAGCCCCTCTGCAGGAGGGGAGACTCAGCCCAGGAAGGTTAAGAGGCCAGGAGACTTGGCCGAAGCATGGAGCGCGGTCAAGGATGCCGTGGACGGGGCCCAGGGCGCCTGGCTCAGCATCTCGCTGCCTCCCCAGATGAACCATCTTGTGCAGGTTTCCTGCACTGTCTCAACCTGACTCCGACGCAGGGTTCAGAATCTCTATTACCTCGTGACCCCGTCCAGAAATAAGCTCATCAAACCACACTGAAGGTGCGTCTTGATATTTTCTGTCGTACTCTAGTCTGGCTTTGTTTATTCCATTAAAGAAAAAAAAAAATCCTGGGTCCTGACCCACTGAAATGATTTTGCAATTCCTCATGATAAAAACCAGGTCTCACCGGAACGTGTCTCCTCCTCTGACGGGCAGATGAGGGCAGGACGGTGAAGGGACACACCCAAGCAGGTCCTTGCCCAGTGCAGTGGCCACCTCAAACCTCCGTGCTTGGGGGCTGGGGACAGACAGACAGACCGCCCCCCCGGGGCCCTCCCGTGAGCTGCTTACCTGAGGTAGCACCGCCGCTCCTTGCCCGGCCAGCCTCTGCAAGGAGCTGACCTGAGGACCCGTGACAGGCACTGCAGTGATGGCTCCCAAAGCCTGGAAGACAGGAGGGGGCACTCAGCCGGGACTGGGGACACTGTGCTGAGGCCACCGGGACTGTCCGGCAGGTGCGTGACTCCCACCACTTGTCTGTATGGGGGACAGCACCCCGGAGGCATAAACTGGGCTACATCAGGATTTCACAACCACGGAAGTATGTTTTTGTCACACAGGACATTCTGGAACCAGAAAAAGAAACAGGATGGCACTGTCCCAAAGACACTTGGCCCTTGGCTTCCTTTTTTACAAGTAAGGTGTTTTTATGTCGATACCTGTCTACTAAAAACCAATGAAAATTAACATTAATCCATACCTTGCTCCATTATTTTTAAAAACAACAAAATGGAACAGAGACCTAAAGGTAGAGCCTAGAAAACTAGAAAAATGACAAAACTAGAAAAAAGACACAGAAGAAAAATCCGTGGGAGTCTAGGTTAGGCAGAGAGTCTTAGCTGTGAGCCCAATACCCAGACCACAGAAGACAAACCAACGACCTGGACGACAGGAGAATTTAGAAGCTCCTGAAGCTTACGTGTAAACAGAGTAAAAAGCCCCAGACGGGGAACACACACTTGCCAGTCACGTGTCTGATGGAGACTGGCACCTGGTGTGTACAGAGGAGCTCTCAAAACGCCATCCTCACAGGGGCGCCTGGGGGGCTCAGTCTTTAAGCGTCTGCCTTCAGCTCAGGTTATGATCCCGGGGCCCTGGGATCGAGCCTCACGTTGGGCTCCCCGCTCTGCAGGAAGCCCGCTTCCTCTCCCTCTGCCCCTCCCTCCAGCTTGTGCTCCCTCCCCACACCTCAAATGAATGCATTAAAAACAAAAACGCAGTCTTCAAAGAACGACCCAGTTAAAACAACGAACACGAGATCTGAGCAGATACTTCATGAAGGAAGATGCGCACACGGTAAATGAGCACATGACAAGATGCCAAACAGCGTGAGTTATTAGGGAAACGCGGAGCTAAAACCAGGGCGAGGGCCCACGACCGCCTCCTCACCTCCTGGATGGCCGCATTCGGAAAGACGGCCGAATCAGAAGTTGGCGATCACGTACGGCAGCTCGTCCACTGCTCTTGGGAACATGAAATGGTACGAGAACACGGCAGAACAGCTTGGCCATTTCTCATAACATTCAACACATGTATACTGCTATGGGCTGAATGTTTGTATTTCCCCCTCAAAAATTCCTGTGCTGAAATTCTAAGGCCCCTGGGGGTGATGGATGTGGACAAGGGCCTCGAGAGGGGATGGGTCATGGAGGCTTGCTTCCCGCGCCTCTCTCTCTCTCTCTCTCTCTCTCTCTCTCTCTCTCTCTCGGCAGCGGGGAGATGGATCAAGGACTAGAGCACCTGCTATGCTCTCCATGGGGAGTGTAGGAGGGGCTTAAGCTAGGAGGGTGGAGTCTTACAATCGATGTCTTGTAAAAACAAGGCTCCAGGGGGACCAGGAGCCCCTGGCCCCGTGCAGGGACGCGGTGAGAAGTCTGCAGCGCGAAGAGGGCCCTTGCCCGAGCACAGGTCTGGGCCCCGCAGCCTCCAGAACTGTGAGCTCCGAGCGTCCGTGGGGGACGTGCCGCGGCAGACCGGCCCGGGAATGCTGGCGGCAGCTCTGCCCGCAGCGGCGCGGCACGGGAACGGGCCCGCAGCCCGACAGCCAGTGCCGTCTGCAGAGGAATGTCACTCGGCGACCCAAAGGAAGGAGCCGCTGACACCCCAGCCGCAAGGAGGAAGCTCGGCACAATCGGGCTGGAGGGAAAGAGCTTGGCACGAAATTTAAAAAAAAGGACAGGCTACAGGATGCCATTTCTATACAATTCCAGAAGCAGCAAACGGATCTCCAGGACCCGGGCGACGGGTCAGGGGTTATGTGGAGGTGGGGGATGGGAGGAACAGATGACGGAAGACACTGGGCACCTGTTCACCGTCTTGACCCTGGTGCCGGTTTCGTCCGACCCCGGAGGACACGGCGGAGCGGCCACGAACTTCTCCAATTGTGGCACGGCGCCTCCCGCCTCTCGAATTTGCCACCTGCCCCACGGGGGCTCACGTCCTTCAAGCCCACTGCCCGCCTCACTGCGCGGGGCCAAACCCCCACGAGTCACTGGGAATCTGCTGCGGACATTTGTCAGAACAGAGCTTCACGTGCAAGGCGGACAGCACCGAAGCAGACGTGGTCCCTCCTCAAGGACGCCTCTCGCTCCATCACGCCGTCCTCCGTCTCTCGCCCACAGGGTCTGTGAAACGTGCCAGGAGAACATCCCAAGCGCGGCCCGATGCCCACATTTTTAAAAAGATTCTGCTCCACCTTCGGCCAGGGGGCAAGTGTAGAAGGTTCTGCCGTCCCCAGAGCAGGCCTGCGGGCGATCCAGCATCACTCTCGGATCCCTGGGCCGACCCAGGCGTGCCCGGGTGGAGGCAAGCACGGAGCCTCATCTGATTCCCAAGCTTCCAGGGCCTTCTGCCAACCTGGGCACCACAGGCTGAGAGGAAGCCGGCCTGTCCCCTCTCACGGGTTCTGCATCAGAGTCCCACACGGGGTGCTAGATGTCACCAGGGAACAATGCTGTATGGTCCCCGGGGAGCAAGGGACGCCTGCATGGATGGGGGCTGGACAGAAGATCCTGGGTGGCAGAAGTAGGCAGACACCCGTCCATCACCGACAGAAACCAGAGAACGGGCGCCCATCGACTTTCCCTGGGAATTCCGCCGGCTTGACTGTCCCCCCAAACAAGTCCCCCAGATCCGCCTGCCTCTGAGGGGCGGGGCAGCCCTTGCAGATGAGAGCTGAGCGCTGCCGTGTGTCTCTTCTGGGGGTGTCCCTGTGCACAGCCCTTCATTCCTCTGGGTGTCCACTCTGGTGCACGTGTCTCTCTTCTGGGCACTCTTCCGGCTCTCTGCCCACGCGCCCTGGGCTCCAAGCCTTCATTCCTGGTTGGCACTCCGCTCTCTCTCCGGTGCTGGGGACTTCCATCCGCGTGTGCCTTAGGAATTTACCATCAGGGAGCAGAAGGACGGGGACCCAGAGAGACTCGGGTGGATGAAAGCTGCTGGATGGAGGCAGAGGCCCCGAGGTCGGGATGGGTAGGGACAGGGAGGGAAGGACAGGGGGAACTTTGCTGACCTCATTCTCCACACTCAGTTTCCGAGAGACACAACGTGCCATGGACACCTGGGGGCCACCCACAGAACAAACGGCCTTCACCTGCGGACCCCATCAGCGGAAGCACCGTCGGACTCCACCGCAACCCAGCCTGACGGCGGCAGGCATACCGCTGCTGGGGCCGAGCTGGGGTGCCTGACCATGCGACAGCATGTTGGGGTCCCTCTGTGCCAGGGCATCGGGAGGGGCCCTGAAGACGGGATGGCTCCCGGGTCTGCTAACCGAGCCGGGTCCCTCCACTTCCCGCTTCCGGGAACGGCGGGTTTCATCTGGCAACACCGGAGTCACCTGCCGCCCCCCACCCCGCCCAAGGCAGGCTTCGGGGCCCCCTCTCGGCCCCATCTACTCGCTTGTCTCTGAGGTCTGGCCCCGGAGTGCGGTCTTCCACGTCCTTACAAAGCTTTAATTAACGAGCTGAAAGGACATTTTATCTGGCAGGGGCTGACCTTTCTGCTCCGCATCTGAATTTATCGATACCAGCAGAAACAATCATCTCAGCGGCTCCTTCACGAGCCTCACGCAGTTTATGGCCACACTTGCGTCAAGATAAACGAGCTCCCGATCACTACACTTACCGCTCTAAGCATCTTAATAGGAGAAAAAAGGGCCATAAAAGTCAAAGATAACTTCAAATTTCTCCTGCATCGGTGGAGTCCCTGGGGCAGCCTCGAAGAAGCTCCGACGCAGCCAGACAGGTATCGGGTGTCACCGCTGCCTGTCCGCGTGCTGGGGACAGGCCGGCTGTGACACCAACGGCATGTGGCCCCCAGGATCTCGTGGTCCCGGGAACTGAGTGGTGGGCCCAGCCTCGCAACAGCTGCTCCCGTCCCAGCCCCAGACCTGACGGATCAGAACCGGCTTGTACCTCTCGGCTTCCCCGCGGCGATGGCAGCTTCTGGCAGGCCCAGAGCCCAGGTTCTGGCCCAAGCAGGAGCGTGGTGAAGGTGTGTGAGGTCTGTCATCAGACAGGGAGGGTCTCAGGCCTCCAGGGCCCAACCCGGTGACCCTGCCAGCCGCGCTCAGGTAGCTGCCCAGGGACGGGGCCTCTTCTTCATACCTGCAGTCACGGCCACCCAGAGTCTCACTGACGCAGTGGGCCTGCCACCCAGCACCCCCATGGGCAGCAGACCTGAGCCCACTCTCCCTACACGTGCAAACTTCTCCCTGCCCTCCAGGCCTTGGTTGTGGTTCCTGTGCCCAAAACGACTCCAGGCCTCACAGAGCTGCCCTCTCAGTGGGACCAACGGGATTTCTGAGGTCACCCCATCCCCGCCATGTAAATGTGTTCCCGAAGGAGACAGAAATACAGCCATGGGGGCTGCCCCACCTCCAGGACAGAAGAGGACAACCCACGCAGCTCCTCGAGCCAGGAATGGTGCAGGGGGCACGGGCACGGGGTCCCAGGGAGCCTCTTCCCCCATACCACTTCAGGGACAGGAGAGACAGGGAGGAGGAGGGACAACCAGCACAAGTACTGGCCAGGTGGCACGGCTGTGTGTGTACGGTGTGGCCAGTGACCAGAGCGGAAAGTGACCCTGTGAAGGGGACCGAGACAAGGCCGGGTCACAGGTTGACCCTTAAGGACCTTGGAATTCATCACAGGAGCAGTGGCCTCGTGGAAGGAGGGTACATGGCCCAGAGACGGGCGTTTCTCAAGTGTGTGACTTGAACCTTATCTGAACCGATGTGTTCCAAAGGAGGGAACAGGCCCAGTGGGGCTATGGTTTGCTGGGCACCCGGGTCAGTGAACGGCAGAGCCAGGGTCCGGGTGGGGCCACCCCCACAGCCCTCTGCCCAGTGGTGGCTGGGATCCAGCCAGCACTGTGGACCCGGG